GCAGGTGCATTGCACAGCCCAAATGGCATCCTCCGGTATGCGAATGTTCCAAACGGGCACGTGAAGGTAGTTTTCTCCTGGTCCTCAGGTGCGATAGCAATATGAAAATAACCTGAAAATCCATCCAAAAAATAATAATAAGCTCGACCTGCTAATCGCTCTACCATTTGATCAATAAAAGGAAGGGGAAAATGATCCTTTTTCGTGACGGCGTTCAACTTCCTATAATCTATGCACTGCCGCCACCCAGTGGGCTTCCGGACTGGTACGAGCTCACCCTCCTGATTTGACTCTACCGTCACCCCTGCCTTCTTTGGAACCACCTGTACTGGACTCACCCAGGGGCTATCTGATATAGCAAAAATTATCCCCACATCCAGTAGTTTTAGGATCTCTTTCTTCACTACCTCCATCATTAGAGGATTCAATCTCCTTTGAGCCTGCCGAATAGGTCTAGCGCCCTCTTCGAGTCGAATCCGATGCGTACATACCGCGGGGCTAATTCCCTTGATATCGGCGATCGTCCACCCTATCGCCTGCTTATGGTCTCTCAAAACTCGAATCAATTTGTCTTCTTGGACTTTTGATAAACTGGCGGAGATAATCACTGGGAGTGTCTCCCCCTCACCCAAGTACGCATACTTTAGGTGTTTAGGCAGCGGTTTCAACTCTAGGGCAGGCGCCTGCACCACAGATGGAAGTAGCCTTTGGTGAGGTTCAGGTGTAAAAACGGGTGCGAGGTCATACCTTATCTTTGTGGTTGGCAACGTTTGCAACGCTCCAATCACACATTTGAGCTCTTCACTCAACTCTATCTCAGCGGTCATCTCTGACTCGAAGTGCCTGGTCAAGGCAACTTCCAGCTCATCCCTGCCTTCCATTTCAAAAACTTCACGTACAGCAGAATCAATAGCATTTATAGAGAAAACAGACCCAGCATGTGATTCTGAAGGATATTTCATAGATTCGAAAATGTTAAAATGAACAATCTCACCATCAAATTCCATAGATAGGGTGCCCTTATTAACGTCTATTTTAGTTCGAGCTGTGCTCAAGAAGGGTCTACCTAACAGTAAAGGTGATGGGTCGTGAGAGTATTCATCATCCATATCAAGCACGTAAAAATCAGCAGGGAAAACCAATTCATTAATTTTCACTAAAACATCCTCAATCAACCCGTCAGGGTATGCATTGGTCTGGTCAGCCAGTTGGATTATTATTCCAGTGTCTTTCAGAGGTCCTAACTTCAACGAGGCATATATAGACTTGGGCATCACATTAATTGAGGCTCCTAGATCTAACATAGCCTTTCCAATCAAGATATTGCCTATTCTACAAGGAATAGTGAACATACCTGGGTCACCGCATTTCGGTGGAAGCTTTCGTTGCAGGATCGCTGACACATTTTCTCCCATTACCACTCTCTCATCTCCCTTCAAACGCCTTCGGTTGACACACAGGTCCCTTAGAAATTTTGCGTATCTGGGTACCTGCTTAATCGCATCTAGAAGAGGAATGTTGATCCCCACTTTGCGGAAGATCTCTAGGACCTCTTTCTCCTTGTCTTGCTTCCTTGGTTTCTCCAATCTGCTTGGGAAGGGAGGTGGGTTGGATCTAACTGGCATGAGTGGGTCCGGGATTACCTTTGAATTTTTATTGTCACCGCCCTCCTCTTCCAACTCTTTTTCAATTCGATTCTCGTCCTTGTCCTTAGGAATCACAGGGTCAGGTCCTTGAACCTCCTTGCCACTCCGCAAGGTCATGGCGCTCACATTCTTTGGGTTCAACTCAGGCTGAGACGGCAATTTACCTTGGTTCTGGGAATCCAAACGGTTGATTGTTGTGGCCATCTGACTTATCTGATTCCTAATGTCCTGCATTTCGGAGTCCGTCCTTTGCTGATATTGCATAATGGTTGCCTCCGTCCTTTGCTGATTCTGCGCCATGGTTGTCATCACTTGTTTCATCATCTCCTCCACGGATGTACCAGAGCTTGGGGCCGGAGGTGGTCGGGGTTGGTACTGCTGCTGGTACCCTGGTGGCTTATTTGGCACGAAATTAGACTGCCTGTTCGGTGCATAGTTGGGCTGCCTATTTCCTCCATAACTGAGATTCGGGTGGTCCTTCCAGCCGGGATTGTACGTAGTCGAGTACGGGTCATAGGCTCTTCTTGGCGCGGGCGCGTGGCCAGCCATGTTCACCTGTTCTGCAGTTTCTTCCTGAAGCATTGGGCACATGTCTGCAGAGTGTCCCATACCCGTGCAAATCCCGCACACCCTGGCTTGAGTTGCTCTCTCTACAGCCATTTGCCTCACAAACGAGGTCAACTCAGTTAGCTGCTGCTGGACAGATGGTGTCTCTATCTCGTTCACCTTGCGTATTGGGACATCCTCTCTCGTACCAAATTGTTGTGAATTTTCTGCCATCCCCTCTATTAGCTCCCGTGCTTCCTGAGGGGTCTTGTTCACCAGTGCCCCTCCACTTGCAGCATCAATTATGCTCCTATCTCTGAATAGGAGCCCCTCATAAAAATACTGAATGAGCAACTGCTCACTTATCTGGTGCTGGGGACACTTGTGCAACAAATTCTTGAACCGTTCCCAATACTCGTAGAGTGACTCCCCTGGATGTTGTTTGATCCCGCAGATTTCTTTTCTTAGGCTTGCAGCCCTGGACGCAGGGAAATATTTATCCAAAAATTTCTTCTTCAGTTGGTCCCATGTGGTGATGCTACCTGGTGGCAGGTAGTACAGCCAATCCTTTGCAGAATTCTTCAAGGAAAAGGGAAATGCCCTCATTTTTATCTGCTCTTCTGTAATGCCCGGGGGCTTCATACTATTGCATACGACATCAAATTCCTGCAGATGCTTATACGGCTCCTCACCTGGTAAACCATGAAAAGAGGGTAAAAGAGAAATCAGTCCAGATTTTAACTCGAATGAAGTGTTTTCACTCAAACTCGGGAAAGTGATGCACAAAGGCTGCTGATTTAAATTAGGGGCAGCCAACTCCCTTAATGTTCGTGCATTAGCCATGGTGATTTCTTCTTGCTCTGAGGCACTCGAAGTATCACCAAATGAATCTGTTGGTTCAACTTCTGACTCAGGTCTCTGAGATGTAGCACTGGAGTGCTCCTGTCTGAGCTGTCTGGTCTCTTTTCTTGTCATACGCGCAGTTTTCTCTACATCAGGGTCAAAAACCAAATTACCTGTACGAGAAGACCGCGGCATACACTAGAAAAATACCAGAAAATTAGAACGAAAATGAACTTAATAAAAAAACAAATAATAACGCCAGTCCCCGGCAACGGCGCCAAAAATTGACAGGGCGTCAGCCTGTGCAATAATAATAATAATAATATAGAACCTAGCTACCACTAAGAGCAGTCAATAATTAATCCTAGGTACTGGAGCAGGGACACTAGGTGTGCAATGGGTTACTTGATTCACCCTGTTCCCGAAGAGTTTGCTTAATCCGATATACCAGAATTAATTAATTGACAAAAATTACTAAATAGTAGACAGTGGCAAGTAGGGTCGTCTCCTCAGGGACTGGAGATATTTGTCTCTTTTTAAAGTCCAATTGATAAGGGGGGATTCTACCGGAATGAAACTAAAAATAATTAGACAATTTAATTAAAAATGAATAAATCACTAGCACAAATATAGCAGGAATTAAATCAAGAATAAATAAATTCTAGCCAAGGATGCAACTACTCAGGCACAGTCAATTTATCTGATCATTGATGCAGGAGAGATTCACTTAATTTATTAATAGGCTAGTTATAGTCTGACGACCAATTTTTCCTTAAATTATTGATAACCAAGGTACGACCGTTGATTACCCCTAATCAGCAAATACTCCTAGGTACGACCATAGGAATTAATTTTTCAATTGCATTAATAACTAGAAAAACCTAGCCCTAATCAATAACACGCTACGAGGGTTATTTAAATTAGATCGCACGTTCCCCTAATGTGTAAACACACCAGTTGCCACTAATATTAATCAATCAAACAATTACGGATTTAATTGACTAAATTGGCACGAGATTAATATATCACATTGAACATCGGGCCCTTGACATCCAATTAATAAAATAATCCCATGAAAATTAAATCAGACAACATGCAAATATTAATAGATAAAGGAACACGTGAAAACTACTTAGATCTCACAGATTTTCGAGACTGCGCCGTCGAGTTGACCCTTGACTAGATGGAAGACTTAGCCACGCCGCATAATTAAATCACCACACGAATTAATGGATTGCAAAGGCATAGCGTTTTTTACTAGAAAGCAAGGAATAAAAGATGTTTTTCCCGTTGGGGAATTTTGTCGAACACCTGGCGTGTGTCAGAGGCCAGTCAGAAGAAGGAAAAACTAAAGCTACACTAAAAGACTAAAACTAGAGATGTCCCTGCTACTCTACGTTATCTCTATTTAAGCAATAAAAGAAAGATGACTAAAGCCTATCTAGGTGGTCCCCACACATGTGGACAAAGCCTTCAAAGTACTTCTTGCCCCAAGTCTCTTTCCGTAGCTTTCTTTTAAGAGCCCAAATGACTAGATGCTTTCCACTAGCTTGTGGTCCCCCACCAATTCAAGGGCCCAAGAATTAAAGCCCTTAGAAGTCTCCCTATTTTCCATAAAGTCCTTCCTTTTTTATGGTTTTCTGCTTCATTCCTGAAATTAAGTCCAGATACCAAATATGAGTAAATATCAGCAATTAACACAATATTTATCAGGGATAAAAGGGGAATTCAATAATAAAATTACTAACAAATTGTACCCTATCAATATTTTGTTGGAATACAAAAATATCATTCTCTATTGCTCTACTTTTCCTCTAATATCTCTATTCATACTATAATAGTTTATTAGTTTTACGACGCTACAATTTTAGTATACGCATTCATCATCCACCACAAAAATAGCTCGAGCATTAGTTTTTTGACCTTGTTGGGATGGTTCAAATTCCCAGCTTCCTTGCACTTCACTGATTACACCAGATGCAGAAGCAGAGACTCACTGAAGAGGAGAAATGAGCGGAGAAGGGAAGGTGGTGTGCGTGACTGGAGCTTCGGGATACATAGCTTCATGGCTAGTCAAGCTGTTGCTTGAGCGTGGCTATACTGTCAAAGCTTCCATTCGTGACCTCAGTAAATCATTCATGCTCTTTACGGCTTTTAGCTTCTTCCCTGAACCCTTTCTTATGTCCACCCAATACATTTCACCTATCAAATTTAGCGTTCAATGAATTGTTCCGGTAAATATTTGAGAAATTTAGCATCCCTTTAACTAGTAGTTTGTTTTTGCACGATGACACAGATGATCCAAGAAAGACAGAATTCTTGGAGGCACTGGATGGAGCCAAGGAAAGACTTCACTTGTTCCAGGCAAACTTACTAGAAGAGGGATCCTTTGATGCAGTGGTTGATGGATGTGAAGGCGTTTTCCATGCTGCATCTCCAGTTCAACTTTCAGTGAGCAATCCGCAGGTAAATTTCCAAATGATGATCGATTTTTGAAAAATTTGAATTTCAACTAATAATAATGGCTCTTAACATTCGTAATTCTTCACATGCTTAAATAATTGTTATGTGGCTAGTTAGTTACTGAAATGTTCTAATTCCTTTATGTTCCTCAGTTACATAATTGTTGTGTACAAGAAGTTTCAAGTGTAAAGAGAGTGAGTATTCAAAGAGCATCTTAATTGTTGGTAGTGCACAAAATTGTTGGTAGTATTCAAAGAGCATCTTGCAAGTCTCTGTTTCTATGATTCTGTTTTTGTGGATTTCCTCAAGTAACTTGCAGGAACTTCATCAAGTCTTAATTGAGTATTTAGAGTAATTAGGATGAACGATATCTGTAAAATAAGCTGTCATCCAGAAAAAGTTCAAAAAAGGACAACGATTGGATAACATCAGAACTAGTACAGGTTCAAGAGTGTGATGCATACATTATATATAAAATGGTATTGATAACAATTTCTTAGGCAATGACTTCACTTCTTTTTTATGGGTTAGAGCATAATGGAGCTGATGAATTACCCACATTGCAACGACTTCATTCACATTTTTTTTTTTCTGTTAATTTCTTAGGCACAGCTATTGGATCCTGCAGTGAAGGGAACACTGAATGTGCTACAAAATCAAAACGCTAATAGCGTGCAACAGATTGATAGCAGACCAAAAGAATGTGTTTTATAGAAGAAAGAAGTGTGGGACTACTTCGCAGCCAAAAAGTATATTCCTATGGAATGAATATTGGAATGCTTGCTTGAGAAGGGTTATTGACATATGCACAAAGAAAACATCACGTCACTGAAAATGTGAACTTTAGTTTCTGCTTGGCTGTTTACTCAAGTGCTAAGAAATCAAAACAGTAAATTTAGCAAGTAATCTGCCAATAATTATAATCACTCGATGCGATCAACTGACAATTTTGGAGGGAGAAAAATTAACCCTGATTAGAGCCATGTATACTTCTAAAATAAGCCCCATTTCTCCAGAGTAGAAGGATTTAGAGAATGTGACTAGATGGTCTCCCAAGTGTCTAGAAAACTTACTTTTTCTTATGTCCCACTTGAAGAATTATGCTTTCAACTAAAGCTACCAAATATGTTCTCTCTATTCAGTTAAGGTATCAACTATCAAAAATTTTGGCAGAGAATGCCGCTTGGGATTTCTCAAAGGACCATGGTATTGACATGATTGCAATTAATCCAGGAATGGTCTTTGGTCCCTTCTTGCAACCTTCTGCCACTTTGAGTGCAGAAGTGATCTTGAGCCTAGTAAATGGTATGTTAAGAAATTTATCATATTGTTAAGTAGTCAATCTACAGAAAGTTTCTTCTACACAATTAAAACAAAGAAGCCGTGGTTGACTCTGGTGAAGTTGTAAGCCTGCTCATTTTGTATTACAGAAAAAATATACATTGCGCACAATAGATATGCATTATTGGGCATCATATGTAATCGTTTCAACTCCTTTTATTTGATTATGTAATGCACATGAATACAAACAGGTGAGCGCATATGTCTAGTTGCTGGGTATACAATTATATTCTCTAAAGAGCTTGCTACCAAATTCTTGTTTGGAACTTACCTGTGTCAGCATTTCTTCACTGCCAAAGCTTTGGAAGTTCAATGTGAATTAAACAAAAATATCTGCTTTAGTTATACGAATTATTTACTTTGAGGTAGTCGCATAGGACTTGGAGGTTTTTCATTTGAACACAGTTTAGTAGTTGAAAGACTTCTTATAGCAGACGATATAGGAATTGGAGCTTGTTGTGGTGCCTTCTAAAGCTTTCTTACAAGATAGAGTAACCAGTTTGAGCATTTTATTCAGTACTAGTTCGTTGTGGTCTCTAGTCTCTGCAGATTTTGCATAAGTTGCCCGCCAATCTGCTTGGTGTTCGTGACTTCATCATTTTCCCATGCAGACTCTCTCAGACTGCAGCGTTATTTACCCGACCTGGTTTCTCACGTTCCTCTTCTTTTATATAGTTGTTGGGTTGTAAAATGTCCAGAAAAAATGAAGTGAAATACTTCATGTTAAATAGAAATTTGTCACATTTGACTATTTACATCTCTCTTTTAAGTATCCTGACTTTACAAGTAATGATACTCGTCTATATGGCAAGAGATGTTATCCCTTTTACTGTCGAATGCAGGAATTGACCCATTCCCTACTATGGTTATACCATGGGTTGATGTTAGAGATGTTGCATATTCACATATTGTTGCCTTTGAAATCGCTTCTGCCAGTGGAAGATATTGCGTAGTTGAGAGAACTGCAGGCTGCTGTGAGCTTATCAAGATTCTGACTGAACTCTTCCCTAATCTCCAATTGCCAGATAAGTGAGTCTGGTTTTCCTGCTCCGTTAGGCCACACTGACGTCTTTGCATGCTTTAGCTGATTGCTTGCAGCTCCAAAATGTATTTCATCTTTTGGCTTCTTTCTCAACATGATAAAGAATACTGCATCCTTCTGTATCATTTTAGTTGTATAATTAAGGGACTGTTGTCTGATAATTTTATAGGCCTAAATCCTAATCCTAGTTGATGCATGATGTTTTGCTGTTAAGAATCATTAGCTTCTTCTCTGTTTCCTAATCGAATAGAATGCAAGATGGACCTTGGCATAACATTGGATAGCAATTAGTAAACTGCCACACTTTCTCAACATGTTTTTGCTGCATTCTCACTTTTACCTCATTTTTTTTCCTGTTCTGAAATGGTTTTAACCTTTTGCAGATGTTCTAATGGCAGTCCACTAATTCAGCTGAAATATGATGTATCAAATGAGAAAGTAAAAGGTTTGGGCATTGAGTTCATGCCTTTGGAGGTGAGCCTCAAGGATACTATCGAAAGCTTCAAAGAGATGAAATTAGTTAGCCTTTGAATCATGGCATTCATCTACTGTCATCCTTCTGTACTGTCATACAATTTCAAACTTTTTATTCTTGTTTGTACAAGGTACGCGATGGAGATTATATATAAAGTTGCTAAAATGTAAACAAAAAGGGCTGAACTGTTACGAGCATGAATAGGCAGGGCTGCTCCGTAAGGAAACAATCTGTAATTATGTCTCGGAATTTTTTGGGATAGTCCACTTAATCAGAAAGACTTTTTGGTATATCTGAACAGATAATAAAAACATAGCGCCTCATTATTGACCATTTCCTCAAATTTTATTGTAATCTTTTTGGTAATTTTGAGCAATATATTCAATTTTTTGTGCTTTGCAAAAATTCTAATGCTTAAACAAAATTTTTGGTCACACTAAAACAGAAATAAAGGTCACGTCATTCCAAAAATAAAATTTTGCCCTAGTCATTGTCAAACTCATTTGTACAAATTGACTTATTGCTTGTTACAAAATGAGTGCAGTTTGAAAATAGGATCAGCACCAATGTCAATGTATTTGAGTGCAGAATACTTTATGATTTTTTTCGAGATTACAAGATCTGCATGATTAGTAAGGCAGATATTAATAGTCGTGTATGCATTTTTTTTTTTTTTTTGTGGGATAATTTAAGCTTTAGCATACCAAGCTAGATTTAACGTTTCAAAATCAATTGGCTTCTGAGTAAGAATATATGACGTGAAAACATAACATAGTGCTTTTTCATTCCTACACCGTATATTTGAGGTTATTTACCCCAAGTATTGGTATATTTTGGGGATGGCAATGGGTCGTCTTGTGTATTTTTCATTTTTGTGTTGCTATCGTGTTCATATAAAAAAATCTCAACATTAACCAAATCCATTAGATTATCATATTGTCTCATGTCATGACCTATTTATCAACAGGTTGGTTCAACCGAACTAGCATAACCTATTAAATACTCTATATGATTAAAATTGTTTTGATGTGATGCATTATTTTGCGAAATCTACCTACTGACAAATGCTAGAAATACTCTAGCATTTTATCATTTAGTTTTGCTCATTTGATCATGCAATCAATTCAATGTTATTGTTGTTAAAACACACAATAAATTTTTTGAAATACATTGTCAATACAAAATTTAAAGTTTTCAAAACATTCAAAAAAAAAAAAAAGCTAATGAAGCTTGCTAAGCATAATATAAGTTGTGAAGTCAATCTTGTTTGAATTGCTATTTTTTTTTGAAAATTTTCTCCATTTTCTGTGAATATTTCTTGTACACATTTTTCAATCATCTTTTATCTCACATATATCATTTCCTAAAAAGTACTAAAGTATTTTTTTTTCTCCAAAAAACTCTCTAAAAAATGAGATCCAATCAACCATTTAGAAATATGGCTAGATAGTTCCATATATGATGAGATATAAAACATATGATTTTTTTAAAACTTCTAATTGAATCATTGTTAGTTTTTATTAAATACTCAAAATGGCCTCAAAATTGTTTAATTATTATCATAAAGTAAGCATTTTATCAGGTTAGCGTGTCAATCCGCGGGTTGATCCAACCCAACCCACTTACATTCGTATCACTAACAAGTTAATCCAATAATGACCAAGTAATGTCCAGGTCATGCTAAAAACCTATTAATTTTGGATCATGTTCGAATCGTACTGTCGTGTCATATCAAAATTTGCCTCCCCTAGTACATCTATTAAAAAATGGTGAGGGTTTTATTTGTCTCGGGTAAAAAATAAGTCTATTAAAATCTGTTGGACATCAATGAACGAAGAATTCAATTCTTTTTCTTTTTTAATATGTTAGAAAATAATAATAAAAGACTGATTGCAATTGTTTAAGATTGAACCAAAAGGAAGAATCCAACTACTCCTGCCTTTGGTCCTCTTGATTTCTATTTTTACTATTTATACTACCTACTCAACTTCACGCCCTTGAATTTTTTTTTAATTGCATGGTACGGTGTACAAGCACCGTCCTAATCCCTCTAATTGTAAAAAAATTACTTTTGACTAGTTAGTTGCTTAAGGTTGTATCAATTGGATACATTGATATGATTTTAGTTGAGAAATATTTGAGGAAAGACGGTATATTTGGAAGAATCAATCTCCACAGGTTATGTTATTAAGATGTATACACCAATTACATTCAAAACTTTTAGAAAATTACCAATATAAGCTATAATAAGAAAAAAAAAACAAAGCTATAATAATAATAATAATAATAATAATAATAAAATTGCCAAAGGGGGGAATGGATTGGGTGTTCAAGACCTCTCACTTATGCAAAAAATAAAACAAAAAAAATGCCAAAAATGGTTTTTTTTTTAACAAATTTGCTAATAGGAATTAAATAGTCTTAGAGATCCACGAATTTTTCAGCTAAATTCTCTCAGGCTTTGTTTGGATTTAGTAATTTGATGAAGAATTTGAAATTCACCCAAATCGTTCTACTAGTTTGAATTGCTTAAGAAGTTTTTGGATTTGTAATTCACCAATTATCACAATACATCTTAGATATTAGAATAATTGATGATTTATGAATTCAAATGACTCCTGAGTAATCTAAACAACTAGAGGAATTTTTTTTAAAAAATTTAAATCTTTCATCAAATCCCTCAATCCAAACGCAACCTCAGGGAAACAGTTTAATCAACTTTTAACCTGCTTCCAACAAGAAGAACAAAACTACATTTTGAAGAAAAAGGAATTAGCTAGTAGCAAATCCTATTTAACCTCCAACCCATTTGAGCTAGGAAGAGAGCATGGTTTAAAAGGCGTCTTGAGAAGTTGGACGTAAGCCTTCTGAATTTTTAAAAATTGTAATAATAGGAATAGTATAAGTAAGTGTTATAAATTTTATAAAATTACATTATAAAGCAAATTATCTAACTGATTTAATGGTTACCTTGAAGGGAAACATGAACGTAGTTAAAGGAATTGTGGAAATTTTTCATAACATAGGGTTCAATTATATTATTAGAAAGCTAGAACAACTAAATGATAATTATTAGGAAAGAAGGGGAAAATTCTAAAAATTTGAAAACTTTTGGGCTCTTACTAACAAAACATTACCACAAAAATCTAAAACTTGCCGTTTGAAGTTGTGATAGTTTATTGAAAAATATTTCACTAATAGAGCTTTTAATAAAAGTGCGTATCAAGTCTTTCAGTGCTTTTAAGTATATTATTCAGACATATAATTCAATAAGTATTTATTGTATTAAATAATACATAATTTTTAAATTTTTAAATGTATTTATCTCTTTATTTAGTTCATAATATAGAATGGAGTGATTAAATTTAATGTTACATATTTTAAACCACAAAAACTATTATAAAAGCACCAAATTTTAGTTTTTTTTTTAAAGTGCTTTTAATACCAAAAATTTCACTTTTAATTTTATGAAATGATGCTCACCAAATTATCTCAAAAGTATTTTTAATATAAAGTATCGCAACTTCAAATGGAGTTTTAATCATCATTTCTTTTCTCTTCCCCTATATAACCTATCGCGCTGTACTCCTTCAACACCCCCCCCCCAACCCCCAAAAACCCTCCCCACTACTCCACCCCAACCACCATCACCGCCTCCTCATCTTTTCTCTTTGTTCTCTTCTTTGCTTCCTCCTCCACTCTTTACTCCTCCACCTTTATGCGCCCCCTTCTTGTCCTCCACCTTCCCGTGCTGTCATTTCCTTTCTTCATTCTGTCTCATCATTTCCTCCCTTGTCCTCTTTTCCTACATTTTCCATGTACAGTAGGAGGTGGTTTCTTTTGGGGCATTTTGGGAGTCTTAGGCATACCCCTAGGCACTAGTGTTTTTATATTTTGGACTAGACCTGCCAATTCAACTAGTCCAAACCAGTATTTTGGACATTAGCTGTAATTTCATTATAATCTAACAACAATATAGGTGCACTGATGTTCCTTTAAAGCGTTGGAATTCAAACTAGCTAGCCGAGCAGATGATCAAGCATAGTACTTGATCATTCATTGACCATGGCCTCAATTTCATCTTTTGATCTTTGAAAGGAATAGAGGCAAACATAACATCTTTTTTGCAGCGATCGAAACAAATATTTGTTTTAATTCTTTTATCAAGGATTTTCCTATATACAATATTGTTAAAAACTACTAGAAGGAACGAAAGTAAAGAAAGGAAAAGTGACCGGACAAAATCCGAATGTAGTGAAGGACATGAGTTATTGGATGCAGAAAATGAGATTTGTGACATTTATTCACATACAAGACTTTGAATGGCAATATCCGCCAACCATTAAATGGTAATATTTAATCACCAAACACTGCCCTACGATCAAACTTCCCCATTTCAACAAATAAGTAAGGCTGGGGCTAAATTCATATCCCATCAATCTGCATCCACACCCATAGTATTAAGATGACAGAAAAGTCCGTAGGAATTCGATAGAAACTTTTTTTAATGCAAAACATGTTTTTTTTTTATACAATAAGAGATGTTTAAAAAATCAATTGTAAATTTTAATTAATTGAAATTGTTTGATACTATCATTCTAATTATTGATTCGTTAGTATTCTCTAAAATTATACTTCGATCAACTTTGAGGTGAAACATGCCAAAAAGATAAAAATATTTTCTTAACACAATTATAAAAATCTCTCATCTCCTCTTACATGATACAAAAGGGATGAAAACATTCTCTCTGCCAAATAAGGGGAAAAAAGTTAGATGTCATCAAAGTGCATGAAAAAAATGTCAAAAATTTTAAGACTATTCCTAATTATGTAAATTTGAAGTTCGAATTAGCACCATCTAGGGTCCGTTTGTTTCGAGTGAAAATATTTTTCAGGAAAATATTTTCCTAATTTTCCGTGTTTGGTTGCACAAAAGTTACTGAAAACATTTTCCGATGTAAAATATTTTCACTCATCTTATGGAAAACAACTTCCCTTCCAAACTTACTGAAGTTGTTTTCCGAAATGCATACATCTTGCTTGTAGTATGTTCCAAACTTACTGAAATCATCTTGTAGTATGTTCTTTTTTTTTTTTTAGTGTAAACAGGAAGACTCGAACCCAAGACCTCTTCCTTACACTCCCTCCCCCGTACCACCCAACCCAACCCTCCCCCTAGTATATTCAAAATAAAAAAAAACCTCATCCTGCTCATCCTATGCTAGTAATTAATTATGTATAATAAGGACATTCTTTTCTAGAGAAACTTTCAGCAGTGAGAGTGCAAGATATATGTCACAATAAGCATTGCATGTGATTGATATTTGACACTAAATGACCAGCAATTTGTTTATTACTTAAGGAGATATTTGTTATTCATATATACATTTCTCCAAGATTTTTTAAAGTTAAACAATGAGATAAATTTTCTTATTTTGCATGGGAAGAAGTATGTAGTTATAATGTGTAGAAAGTAAAGATAGAAATAAAAGTGAAAATATTTCAAAAGTTAAACAAACACCAGAAAAATGAAGTAAGAAAATATTTTCAATAAGCTAACCAAACACCTGAAAATGATGAAAGGGAAATGATTTTCATGGAAAATTACTTCCACGGAAAATATTTTCCCAAGGAAAACATTTTACTTCCAACCAAACAGACCCCTATTTTCAGCAAAAAAAAAAAAAGGCTAATATTTATTGAAAATGTTTCGAACAAACCCCATAAATACTATGGGCCTTTTTATCAACTTAATTATAAGGGTATGGGTTTAGATTGTGGAGGTCGATTTAGCCTCACCCAATAAACAAATATATAAAAATAAGAAAGATCAAGCAATGCCATTTCAACCTTACCCTGATGACATTATTCAATGAAATACATTCAGTGAACAAAATGACATTGTCATGAGCTAGAAAACAACATCCTGGCTACCAGTATAAATTACTAGTATTTAACCACATTCAACGGCTTAATTAGTCCATCATCACCACCGTATCATTCCAAGAACACCAAAAAAAAATCCATTTTTTTATCCCCATATTCTCCACCAATCATTTAGTCAAGATAATAATAAAATGAAAAACATTCGCCATCATCATTGTCAAAGCTCCTCCACTGTTTTGTTCATGGCTTTTATCATCACAATTTTCTTATCTTTCCTTTCTTTACATTCAACCAGAAACATCCCAGAAAATAATTCATATTATTTAGCAATCAAATCCAGCAGAAGAAAGGAAGAGGGGACTTTGCAGCTTGGGGTGCCGTTGGTGCCGAACTTGTAGTTTCCTGCTTTCTTCAACAAAAAACCTCTGTGAAACTACTATTCTTTTCCCCTTTATTTTCTGAAATTTCATATTCACGTGGCTGTGTTTTATCTGCTCCTTTTTTTCCCGATGATAAATGAAAAATGGACATGATAAAAAATAAGGGACAATTTGACAAACCTCCCCTGAGGTTTTTAATAATTATAGAGAGCTCCTCTCAAATTTTAAAAATTACACATACCTCCCCTACTTTACTGTTTGTATAACAATATAGGTCCAACAGGTTAGATTTTCTCTCAAAAATCCTAAATTGCCCTTTTGTACAAAACTAAGAAAGCAAAATATGGTACGCTTAATCATTTTCTTCCACACTTTGCACAAATCAACAAGTTTAATTCTTAACAACCACACTTTGCACAAATCAACAAGTTTAATCCTTAACAACTATTCAATCATAAGTTCCAAATTCAAATAATCATTCAAAAGATTCCAAATTGCATATATAACATTAGTACTTGCCACGTGAAAAAAAAAACTCATACAGAGACACACCTCCCATTTTCTCAATGCTCAAATATCTTTTCAATACAAGCTAATCTGACCTAGAGCCACTATTACAACCTTCTTATGGTCTTAAAAATATTAATATTTTAAAAGTAGAGAATAAATTCTACCTCCACAATAAAATCATAACAAAAAAATTTCAATCTAATGAAAGAAATCCTTATGTAATTATTGACATTTTATAAAAGTTTTTCATGACAACAAATAAAATATGACAACTTTCACATCCTTAGTTCTTCTTCCTATTTCAATCATCAATTTCATTATTTATTTCTCTATCATTCCGAGTCTCTTCATTGCCTTTTAGTTTGATACATACTCTACTCTCTCTATTAATTTTGTAATTTCAATTTGCTAATATCCACAAAACTGAAGACAATAAAAAAAAGGTATAGCAGTATATTAACTATAAAAGAAAGGAGCGAAAGTAGACAAGAGACCGAAAAATAATTTTTTTTTGGGTTTTGTAAATCTATTACCTTAAATTTAGAATTGTCTACGAAATGGAGGGTATTATAGGTATTTTATTATGCCAAGGGAGGTAAGTGTAATTTCTTAAACTTAAGGGGAGTCGAGTGAAATTGTAAGAAACCTCAAGGGAGGTTTCTAAAATTATCCCCAAAAAAATTAGCTTAATTTGCATTTTTTCTATTTTCTTTTCTAGAATTCGGTTAAGTCCTATATGAAACATTTGGTTTTTGTGTCATTTTCTTTATTATTGTGACTATCACGGCACGTATTGGTAATGCACTATTCCATAACTTTTTGCTTTTTCATGGAAAGCATGGAATTAGGCAGTTTGCTTAGTTGTTCAACTTCTTTTCTACATAAACTAAATGCATTTTTTTTGTCTAGTCGATTATTTTGTCGTCTTCATAACTTTAGAAGAGTACTAATTATACTTGTAGTCGGTTTTACTGGATGTTGGAAGATGGTCAACTCTAACATTGTTTCACAATTAGGAATTAACCTTTGTTCGGTCTTTCACATACAAATTGAAGCATGTTAAAATACTAAGATGTACAAATATAATAGTTTTCTTCCAGTTTTCATTTCGAAAAACATTTTGGATAAGCTAATGTGGCAAAATTTTGATTACTATACTGAGATAAAGGATAACATTGCTGTAATTTCATTAGAGTAGATTTTAATCAGTTAGTGGGATCAATGATCAAAGCATACTTGATCCACTAAACAAGTTGTTTGAATTGTTTGTGCTTTTGCCTTTTGGGATGGGCCATATCCGGGCTTCCTTGCTCGCATTGCTCTTGATTTTATATGAAGGAAAAAGAGCCAGAATGTGTGGAGCAGAGAAGGTGGTTTGCGTGACATGAGCTACGGCATGAGAAAAAATTTTTTTGTAGTTAATTTGCTCAATCACCTGCTATCGTTCAGGTCGATCTGGCATTTGTGGACAAATTAATATTCTGTAACCTAATAGAATTGTACAGATAATTGTGGTGCTTGGATATGTTTACATTATTGAGTGTGTAGAGTTAGATCTCCCTGTTAGCTAGCCTCTGCAGCTATTTCTATACCTGTTTAGCTTAATGGATGTTCTCAGCTTTTTGTATTTTATTCTTATCTTTAAATGTGTGTTTATGATGTAAAATGATACATGTTACTATATGCTTTCCTACCTAACTAAGGATTAAGCACATCAAATTAACTAACCAACCATTATCTATATCTATATACAATAGTAGAGGGAGAGAGGTGGTAGTTGGGATAAATAGTTTATATCATTTCTTTGAACTTGTAATTTTGTCCTTAAAAAATTAATTTTCACTCTAATCACTTAATCACATTTGCTAACATAATCTCTCATAACTCACATTTGCTAATGTTGTTGCTTTATGGTTGATCAAGTTCTTGCTTCATCGCAGTTATACCGTCAAAGCTTCCGTTCGTGACCTCAGTACGCCACTCTTGACTTCAAATTCTTTCTTGAGGAACTAGTAAAAATTACTGCACCATGGCCTAATTAATGATAAAAGAGGGCGTAAATCTCAGTTGCTTATTGTGGATGAAATTTGTACTGATTTATGTTCAATGTCAAATCATGGTTTCGGTGAATGTGTCACAAAAATTGGCATCCCTTGAGTGGTTGGTTTTGCATGATGGCATAGATGATCCAAAAAAGACAGAATTTTTGATGGCACTTGATGGAGCCAAGGAAAGACTTCACTTGTTTCAGGCAAACTTACTAGAAGAAGGATCCAATGATGCAATAGTTGATGGATGTGAAGGTGTTTTGCATACTGCATCTCCAGTTCAACTTTCAGTGAGCAATCCGCAGGTACATTTTAAATGATGATGAAATTTTGAATTTTCAAAATTTAAAATCTCGAATAACAATAGAACCATATCAAAGAAATTAAGGGAGAGTCTAAAAATCTCTAATTAGATGCAAGTGAGGCAAGAAATGGGATCCAATAGGGAATGGCGGTCTATCTTCCTCATGTGTGCCCAAAGAGTGAAAAGTTCCCTCTAAATGCTTGGTCATCGCTATTTATAAAACCATGCATGCATTTGAAAAAATGTCAATTGACATGCGTATCCACTACTATCAAACAAAATAGTGTATATATGCCATGCCACAATTAGAATTGAAATATGAATCAAATTACTTAATACTCCAATTGAGTTCATCTTGATAAAAGCTCGTTCAAGCTAAGTTCGATTCGAGTTTGATTCGTTAACTAAATAAACCAAACTTAAATAGTATTTTGTATTTAATAAACTTTCAAATTCGGTTCAAACTCAATTTAATTAGTAGAAAAGTGAAATTTTACATGTAAAATACTCAAATTACTCAAACTTGACTTGAGTTCGACTTAATAAAAATTCATTCAAGTTCAATTTGAAAAGTAAATAAGTAAAGTTTAAACATAATTTCAAATTCGTTAAAATAATCTAACAAACTTGGACACACCCTTAACCATACCAGCTACTTTATTTAGATTTGCACTTCATGCACCTCGATCAGTCCCCATTGAGCTCTCTCTGTGATTCCATTCCAAGGTCCTCGCAGTCTCATTGTTACCTCTTAGGATGGCAGAGAGCAAGGCTGAGTCAGGGTGTCGGGGCAAGGGTTATGTCAGTCTAGCAGATAGGAATACACATTGGTGGAACGGCATCGTTTAGGGGATTGGGGAAATTAATTGGTGGAACGGCACCGTTTAAGAGAATAGGGCAATTGCTAAGAAGAACGGCAACGTTTTGGCTAATTGTTTAGTTAGTTGCGGTCGTTAGCTTGCAACTATAAATGGGACCCACTTCTTGTAACAAATGAAGAGTTTTACCGGAATTGATTTCATTTTTCTCTCTCTCTCTATTCTTCTCTCTCACTCTACTTCTCTCCTAGTTTTCCATTCTTTCTAATAAATCTACTAAATTCACCGATTCATTAGTTCAATCCGTGACAAATTGGCATCAGAGCTAGCGGAATCCTTGGACACAATCATGGCAGAAAGCACCAGATTCAAGACCTTGGAAGAACAAGTGCAGAAACAGGAGGCTAAGCTACAAGAAATCATGGAGAATCTTCAATCTTCGCAATCTTCGCAGCAGCAGCTCAGAGGAGAGATTCGTCAAGAACTCGAAGAAAGCAATAGGCGTATGGAAAGCTTGGTAACTGGAATGGAGCAGAATTTTGGCACATTTTTAGAACAAAAATTCAGCTCACTAATGCTGAATGTGACTGGTGCGAGGGAGAAATTGCCAGATGAAGAAGTCAGGGGAAGAACAGAACAAACACCACCGCTGTTACCGACTCCCCCTTCTCAATTCAAATTGTATCCAAAAGCAGAAGTTACGAGAGCTCTCAGGCAAGTAGGTAAAGTTCAAGTGCCAAATCCCCCAAAAATTGATTTACAATTGTTTTCAGGAGAGAATCCGAGAGATTGGTCGAGAAAATATAACAAGTATTTCAATAACTATCAAGTTCCGAATGAGCAGAAAGTAGCTATCGTAGAGATGTATCTTGATGGAAAGGCAGACAGGTGGTTCCAAGGGATGAGGATTGAGAAGCCTAGGCTAACCTGGAAAGAGTTTGGGGAGATTTTGTGTAAAAGATTCAATGATAATGGCTATAAAGACATAATTGAGGAATTCAACAAACTACAACAGGAAGGAAGTGTGGAAGAATACCAGGAGAGGTTTGAAGAATTAAAACCACTAATGTTGGCCAAGAACAAAAACCTTGATGAGAGCTACTTTACCTCCAGTTTCATCAGTGGCCTAAAAGAAGAAATTAAGCCTATGGTGAAGATGTTGAGGCCTGCTACACTGTCAGAGGCCTTTGAGATCTCTCTGTGGCAAGAACGCAACATTAAAGTCCAGTTCAGAGGAGTTAGAGAGGGCCACAGAAATGCTGCAGAAAGTAAGTTTGCCATGACCAAAGGCACTACTCCTACAACAGCCAACACCAACACATACAAGATACCTTCAACTGGTAATTTCAGAAACACCAAATTTAAGAACTTGCAAACTGACCATCAGGATCCTAAGAGGATTTCATCTCAAGAAATTCAGTACAGGAGAAACCACGGTTTGTGCTTTAAGTGCGGGGACAAGTATGGACCTGGACACCAATGTAAGTTAGGACACTTAAACTTTCTGATTGGTGAAGAAGAGGAGGACTCAATGTTCGAAGATGCACTGGGGGAACAAGATGACCAAACTGGAAATCTTGGCCAAGTGATGGAAATGTCCCTTCATGCATTGTCTGAGGCCTTAAAAAGAAAAACTATCACACTAACAGGGAAGCTGGATGGGGAAGAGGTGTTGATCCTAGTGGATACTAGCAGTTCAGACAGCTATATCAACAGTGAATTAGTCATTGGCATGGATATCAAGTACCAAATGGTCTCAAATCCTTTTTCTGTGATCATGGGAAATGGCACTTGTGTTACTAGTAATGCAATCTGTCCAAGTGTAATGTGGGAAGTCAATCAGTACAAGTTCAAGTTTGATCTTAAAGTAATGGAATTGGGAGGATGGGATATTACATTGGGAGTGGATTGGATGGTGCACTTCAGTCCAATCACATTTGATTTCCATCAATTAAGAATTTCTCTGTTCAACCAAGGACAGACAGTACACCTACAAGGACAAGCTGAGAACTGTGATCTGGACCTGATCAGAGGGAAGGACTTGAGGTATTTTATTGAGTATAAGAAACAGGTGTGTGTAGCCATGGAATGGAAGCAAAATAAGGATGGAAATGAGCATACCATACCCAGAGAAGTGGAGGATGTCCTCAGTGAATATGCTGATGTCTTCAAGACACCTGATTCTTTACCTCCAAGAAGGAGCATTGACCATGAGATTACTCTAAAACCAGGCTCTCAACCAGTCAAGCTCAAGCCATACCGTTACCCTCACTCTCAAAAAGGAGAAATAGAAAGACAGGTTACAGAAATGTTGGGGAACGGAATAGTTATACACAACACCAGTCCATTTGCATCTCCAGTGCTGCTAGTCAAAAAGAAAGAAGGCACTTGGAGATTCTGTGTGGACTATAGGAAATTGAATGAGATGACTGTTAAAGATAAATATCCAATACCAAATGTAGAAGAACTACTAGATGAGTTGGCAGGAGCTGTGTTCAAGTCAAAGCTGGATCTTACATCAGGTTATCACCAGATTCGAGTCAAAACTCAGGATACTCACAAGACAGCATTTCAAACTCATTGTGGCCATTATGAGTTCCTGGTGATGCCATTTGGCCTTATCAATGCACCAGCCACCTTTCAATCTCTGATGAACCCGGTATTTCAACCATATTTGAGGAAATTCGTTTTGGTATTTTTTGATGATATATTGGTCTACAGTCCTACATTAGAGTCACATGTTCAGCATCTGAAAATAGTGCTTGATACTCTGAGACAGAACCAACTGTATGCAAAAAAATCTAAATGCTCTTTTGCTCAGAAAACAGTAGACTATTTGGGGCATACTATTTCTGAGAAGGGTGTTAGTATGGATCAATCTAAGATTGACTGTATGTTGCAATGGCCTATACCACAAACTGTGAAGGAATTGAGGAGCTTTTTGGGATTGACAGGGTACTATAGGAGGTTCATACAATATTATGGACAAATATGTAAACCTTTGACTGAACTTTTGAAGAAAGATAGCTTCACATGGAGTGAAGGTGCTCAGAGCTCTTTTGAGAAATTAAAGGAACTAATGGTCACGGCACCAGTCCTTAAACTGCCAGATTTTAGTAGACCTTTCATCATTGAGACTGATGCTAGTGGTAAGGGTCTAGGGGCTGTGTTAATGCAAGAAGGCCATCCTATTGCATTTCTGAGCAAGGCACTCTCCCCCAAGAACCTGGGACTATCTATGTATGAGAAGGAACTCCTTGCTCTAGCAATGGCTGTCACTAAGTGGAAGTATTATCTGGTAGGACATCACTTCATCATCAGGACGGATCACTAGTCTCTAAAGTATCTACTGGACCAGAAACTCAATACTGCTCTACAACACAAGTGGCTGACCAAATTACTGGGATTCGACTATGAAATCCAATACAAGAAGGGTGCTGAGAATCTGGTTGCTGATGCACTCTCAAGAAGACAAGGGAAGGACATCTCAGTGGATAGCAATACTAGTTTCTGTCTGGCTCTATCTGCTGTTAAACCAGGCTGGATGGAGGAACTGATAAAGAGTTATGAAGGGGACCCTCAATGCCAAGAGATTATGTCCCAGTTACTGTTAGACTCTACATCTCAACCATCCTATACACTGACAGAAGGAGTACTCAGATACCAGGGGATGCTGTACGTAGGGACAGGAAATGACATCGGGAGCAAACTGGTCTCAGCTCTACATGACTCTGCAATGGGGGGACATTCTAGACAGAAAAGTTGCTGGCATAGGATTAAATCCTTGTTTTACTGGCCTGAGCTCAAGAAGGATGTTATTGCCTATGTACGAGAGTGTGATGTGGGCCAAAGAAACAAATCTGAACATCTTCCATATCCTGGTCTACTTCAGCCATTCCAATCCCTCAACAAGCTTGGTCCCACATTTCTATGGACTTTATTGAGAAACTTCCTAAGTCTCAGGGCTATGATACCATACTGGTTGTAATAGACAGGTTCACTAAGTTTGGACATTTCCTGCTGTTAACACATCCTTTCTCAGCTAGGCAGGTTGCACAAGTGTTCCTAGATAATGTTTTCAGGTTGTATGGATTGCCAGAATCGATTATTACTGACAGGGATAGAGTGTTCACCAGTTGTTTCTGGAAGGAACTGTTCAAGTTAATGGGAATTCAGCTCAAATATTCTTCTTCCTACCACCCTCAGACAGATGGCCAGAGTGAGAGGCTCAATCAGTGTCTAGAATCCTATCTGAGGTGCATGACTTGTGAGTTTCCATCTCAGTGGAGCAAGTGGATACCGACTGCAGAATGGTGGTACAATTCTGCATACCACACCAGCTTGGAGCTTTCCCCATTCGAAGCCTTGTTTGGCTATAAACCAACACCCCTCCCTTTAGGACCATATCAGGACTCAGTGATACCTGCTGCAACTCAGACATTACAGGAAAGGGCCAAAATCACCAATAGCATCAAGGAACACTTATCCAAGGCTCAAAATAGGATGAAATATTTTGTTGATAAACATAGGATGGAGCGAGAATTTGTAGTAGGGGACTGGGTATTCTTAAAATTGCAACCTTATAGGCAACAGTCTATATCTGTGAGGAAGTGCTTGAAGCTTTCTGCCAAGTACTATGGTCCCTTCCAGATTGAAGAGAGGATTGGACAGGTAGCTTATAGACTAAAACTCCCTGCAGGGGCCAGAGTGCATCCGGTCTTCCATGTATCCTTACTTAAGAAGAAGGTAGGTCCTCTCCAACAACTGTCTACAACATTACCAGAATGGGACGAGCATGATCTGTGCCCCCTTAAACTAGATATGATCCTGAAGCGTAGGGCAATCTTACGTGATGGACAGCCTGTGGTACAACTCCTGATTAAATGGAATCACCTCAGTTTTGATGAAGCATCCTGGGAAGATAAAGCCTTCATCGAGCAACAATTTCCAGATTTTTACAGACTTGAGGACAAGTCAGATCGCAAGGGGAAGGGATTGTCAGTCTAGCAGATAGGAATACACATTATTGGA